AACGTCACCTTAGCTCAGCTGTTTTACTGCAGTGAGACACAATGAAAGCAAGTTAAAACTCCAAAACATGTTGACATTTATTTTCAGCTCAATGCACTCAGGCCAAAGTTAATGTAAGGTAAATTAATAGAAGATGAAAAGCTGTGCAATAAAGCTAGCATTATAGAGCATAGCAGAAAGAACAATAGGCAACTTCTTCACAAACTTCTGTCTCTCTGTCTTTCTCTCTCTCTCTCTTATTATTGGAGTGTGCACCTGCATACTTCTTAAAGAAACATGAACCCCAATTTGCCAACATATTTACAAGCTGTTTAATGGTAAATTAGTCCTCTCTGGTTCTCTCTCAGTTCTCTTTCTGAACACAGTGATTATCACCTTTTACATCACACCATTGGGTTACTTGTCAATATTTCATGGCCCTGTAGCCCAGGCCTACTGTAGACATTTGATTGAGTAAGCATAGTAAGGAGTCTGTAAAACTGCTAGAAGGTTGGATATACACTATATTGCCAAAAGTATTCGCTCATCTGCCTTCACACGCATATGAACTTGATATCCCATTCTTAATCCATAGGGTTTTATATGATGTCGGCCCACCCTTTGCAGCTATAACAGCTTCAACTCTCTTGGGAAGGCTTTCCACAAGGGTTAGGAGTGCGTTTATGGGAATTTTTGGCCATTCTTCCAGAAGCGCATTTGTGAGGTCAGACACTGATGTTGGACGAGAAGGCCTGGTTCGTAGTCTCCGCTCATATTCATCCCAAACGTGTTCTATTGGGTTGAGGTCAGGATTCTGTGCAGGCCAGTCAAGTTCTTCCACACCAAACTCGCTCATCCATGTCTTTATGGACTTTGCTTTGTGCACTGGTGTGCAGTCATGATGGAACAGGAAGGGGCCGTCCCCAAACTGTTCCCACAAAGTTGGGAGCACGAAATTGGCCAAAATCTCTTGGTCTGCTGAAGCATTAAGAGTTCCATTCACTGGAACTAAGGGGTCGAGCCCAACTCCTGAAAAACAACCCCACACCATAATCCCCCCTCCACCAAACTTTACACTTGGCACAATGCAGTCAGACAAGTTCCGTTCTCCTGGCAACCACCGAACCCAGACTCGTTCATTGGATTGCCAGACGGAGAAGCGTGATTCGTCACTCCAGAGAACACGTCTCCACTGCTCTAGAGTCCAGTGGTGCCGCTTTACACCGCTGTATTTGGCGCTTTGCATTGCGCTTGGTGATGTAAGGCTTGGATGCAGCTGTTCGGCCAAGGAAACCCATTCCATGAAGCTCTCTACGCTGTTCTTGAGCTAATCTGAAGGCCACATGAAGTTTGGAGGTCTGTAGTGATTGACTCTGCAGAAAGTTGGCAACCTCTGCGCACTATGCACCTCAGCATCCGCTGACCCCGCTCTGTCATTTTACATGGAGTTGCTGTCGTTCCCAATCACTTCCACTTTGTTATAATACCACTGACAGTTGACTGTGGAATATTTAGTAGCGAGGAAATTTCACGACTGGACTTGTTGCACAGGTGGCATCCTATCACTGTACCACGCTGGAATTCACTGAGCTCCTGAGAGCGACATACTCTTTCACAAATGTTTGTAGAAGCAGTCTGCAGGCCTAGGGGCTTGGTTTTATACACCTGTGGCCATGGAAGCGATTGGAACACCTGAATTCAATGATTTAGATGGGTGAGTGAATACTTTTGGCAATATAGTATTTGTTAATATGTCTGCTGCAAGCTTTGAATAAAACAAGGTCTTTATCATAAAGTTGTTTTTGACTGAATTTGATATCTATGGCCTGAGCCACTGCTAAGAAGTATTTAAATCTTTTTTTCCATCAGTAAGCTTGGTTGGTTAAAACAATTTGTTCAGTAATGTCAATATCAACACGTGCGTCTGTTTGTTCATTTATTTGTGTGTGCTCTTTTTATTTATAATTATGACCTCAATAATGATGACATCACATTTTAGGGCCCATTGAGAAATACAGATAAGTGGGTAACACTTTACATTAAGGGTCGCTAATCCATCATTAAATATATAATAATCAACTATTAGTTTCCCATTATTTAGTTATTAGTTAACTCTTCATTAAGCATTAGCTATTACTTAGTAATTGATTAAGCACTTATCAATTAGTAATTAAGTACACTGTTAGTTGATAAGCTTGTTTGTCGTTAGTTTGTGGCTTACTTACTCATTATCTGTGTGCTAATTGCTGCTTATTACATTGTTAATTAACTAATAAGTATTTTTCTTCATATAAAGAAGTAACGTGATAACTTACTAGCACCTATGTGTTAATCCCGCTAATTATCTGTTAATTAACTTTCCATCACCTCCATATATTCAGTTGCTTCACTTTTCTCACTTTGGTTCATTAAAGATGCTTATGGTCACATCTGACCGTAAGATGAGCGCACACAAATTCACTGACGGTTTTGTTATTCATCACGTTCATCTTGGCATATCTGTACTCATATCTGGTAGGAGTGCATGTAAATTTGGGCATAAATGCTGGATATGTGGCTAATTAACCAAAACTATTATCAACATAATCTGTAATTGCAAAAATAAGAACAACAATAGAAAATTTCAATAATACTAATTTGTGTGCATGACAGTCACTTCACATCAAGCAGCCTCTGTGTCTTTGTACAACACGCCAGCGATGTCGGTAATATTCTGTTTTCAAAAGAAAGAAGAACTTTTATATGTAGCATGAATTTTATAGACGCTAGCTATACTGGCTAGAAGCTGCTGCTAACCAAACTAGCCCGGCTAACATGAAGCAGCTTTTTCAGATGTTTTTTTCAGCTCGGAGTCGCGTTTTTGACTGAGCAGTGAAAGGTGGAAGTTTTCTGAAGTGCTGCTTCAAAAATTGCCATGAAACTATAAGAATAATGCTGTTTGTCAGATCGCTAACATAGCTAGCGTTAGAGCTAACTTAGCTTTAAAGTGTGCTACTCATATGAAGCTGGTGCTCCTAAAACTGCTAATGGTAGGCTAGCTAATTAGCGACTGTAGCCTGCTAGCCTACCGTCGGCTAATACAATTAAACAAGGTCTGTAAAATAGACTTTACATATAAAAGTTTTTGTTTGTGTTTATGTCAGAAGTCTCTGCATCCTGTAGCTAAATGTGTCACAGAACCTGCCCCACGTTAGCCGGCTGGTGGCCGCAGCTAATGAAAGCTAACTAGCTTCCTTATTTTGGGAACACAGCTACAGTTAGAAATGGCTTCTAGCGTTGCTAGCTAATCTAGCTACAGCTAAACAACGTCTACCAAATTCATACTACACAGAAGAACTTTAATTTCTTTAAAAACAGAAATATTACAGAAATCGCTGGCATGTTGTACAACTACAGAGACACTGCTTGATGTGAGCAGCTGCAGCAGCAGTAAGCAGGGCTACACCACACACAGCATTTTAGCTGTGTTTACAGTTAAGTCAGTGCTTCCATTCACTTCCTATTCTCACTTTTTGTCATGATAGTGCACAAAAACTAACTTATGTCTGTTGTAGCTCAGTATTTGAGCATTATAGTTCACTGCTAATGCTTAATCCGGACGTAATCGCGACTCTTTGTGAAAAGGGCCTATGGCCATTAAATCTTTACATTTTGACCATTAATTACTTCTTAAATTCCACTTAATCAACCATTAATTGCTTCTTAAATTCCTCTTACTTAATCATTAATTACTGCTTTTGTGTTGTCACTTTACTTGGAGGGACACAAAAGCAGTAATTAATGATTGAGTAAGAGGAATTTAAGAAGCAATGAATGGTTGATTAAGTGGAATTTAAGAAGTAATTAATGGTCAAAATTAATCATCAAAGTTACGTAAAAAAAGAACACCCTTTTCTTGCCTTTTATACGGTATGAACTGCTCTGCGTCTGATTCGTAATAAATTTGTACGATGTGGAAACAAGTGGAGATTTGAGCATAAATGATAAATCAGCTTCAGTGCATGAAACCAGCCGACCAGCACCTCATTTACATATCATTTACATGAAGCACACCCTAATTCATGCAGATGTTTCAGTAGCCAGCCAATAAAATGGCAGTGTTTGTCATGAAAGCTAATGGCCGTGCTCGTGGGTGGAGTTTGATGTCCAGCAGTGAGTGCCCTCCTCCCCTGCTGACCAAACTTAATAGTATTAAAATGAAAACAACTGGAAAAAAAAATGTGAAATAAAACTAAATACTCAGTGTTGTTAACATAGTAGAGTGATTGTTTAGTGTAATTAATTCCCTAAAATAAACGCTGTATTATTGCAGTGTATGACCGAAGCTGTGTTTGTGAGTCAGTAGTATGAAACAAAAGCACAGTGTAATGTGTCTTTAAATGGAACATGAAATAGTTGCAGCACTTGTTTATATCAATGTGCATGTAAAGTAAGTACATCCACTTTTGTCCTGGACTGTCATGCACACAAATTAGTATTATTGAAATTTTCTATTGTTGTTCTTATTTTTGCAATTACAGATTATGTTGATAATAGTTTTGGTTAATTAGCCACATATCCAGCATTTATGCCCAAATTTACATGCACTCCTACCGGCTATGAGTACAGATATGCCAAGATGAACGTGATGAATAACAAAACCGTCAGTGAATTTGTGTGCGCTCATCTTACGGTCAGATGTGACCATAAGCATCTTTAATGAACCAAAGTGAGAAAAGTGAAGCAACTGAATATATGGAGGTGATGGAAAGTTAATTAACAGATAATTAGCGGGATTAACACATAGGTGCTAGTAAGTTATCACGTTACTTCTTTATATGAAGAAAAATACTTATTAGTTAATTAACAATGTAATAAGCAGCAATTAGCACACAGATAATGAGTAAGTAAGCCACAAACTAACGACAAACAAACTTATCAACTAACAGTGTACTTAATTACTAATTGATAAGTGCTTAATCAATTACTAAGTAATAGCTAATGCTTAATGAAGAGTTAACTAATAACTAAATAATGGGAAACTAATAGTTGATTATTATATATTTAATGATGGATTAGCGACCCTTAATGTAAAGTGTTACCGATAAGTGTTCACATACTTTTTCTCACAACTGTAAACAGCAAAGCTGTGGTAAGTTAATGTGATCTACAGAGTTCTGCACTTCTACTGCATACTTTACCCAAATATAAGGACACGCATACACTATGCTATTTCTATCTCTAGGACTCATGAATGAAAAAAAAATATATTATTTATTATTTCTCCTGTCAGATAACTTGACCTACATTGATGATCCAAAAACCTGGATTGAAGCACTAAAATACTGTCGGGATCGTCGCAAGACTTTAGTGCACATCATAAACTCTACTGTGCAGGAATTCGTCATACAGATGCTGCAGAATGATATCTATCCAAATGGCGTGTGGATTGGGCTTGAGAGGAACATGCTCTTCCCATGTGCCCCATGGATGTGGACTGGTGGACCCTACGTGAACTATTCTGAATGGCATTCTAGCTTTCCAGTGGACCCCACCAGCCAATACTGTGGCAAACTGGTTAACAATGGAAGCAAATGGCTGGATTCTTATTGCAGTGAGGAGCTCCCTTTCATCTGTCAGGTCAGTTTGAGCTTAAACAGCTCTTTTTTTAATAAAAGACCATTTTTGTTCAGTCACATGACTAATGATTTATTTACATGACAGCAGTCTGTGATGAACAGTGTTCATAATGAAAATCACTCTTTATTGTTTCTAACAGGATTAGACCACTAGGAGGAGCTACTTCACAGGAAAAAGGGCTTTGGTGAAACATTGAATTAATGTTGGATCTTCATATTAAAGTGCTCAAGAATCCAACTGGAGTGCAGAAGTAGCTCTGCTGTCTGACAAACAGCTGTTATGAAATGTTTATTACACGCAATTACATCTTTATGTCAAATCTGCAGAAATCTAATACAGCTACAGACAGACTTTCACTTAAATATTCAGTCACTGAACATTTCTACAGAAATACAACACTAAACATTAATTAATCACTGATTGCTCAGTTTCCTATCAATTCATATCTTTCAGCTACTTTTTAAAGTTATAAACCTCTTTATTATTTAAGTTTGCAAAGTGGACATTGTTTTCTTTTTTAACATGTTTTAGTTTGTTTTATTCAAAGAATTATTCAATAATTCTTTAAATATATACTTTCAGGTTAAACTGTTTATTGTTATTTAATATATTTTTTTGTCTGCTATTGATCAGTGCTATGAATAGCCTGAGAAATCTTTGTAACATAATTAAACAGGGGTGTTGGGGATTGTGTGAAGGAGTATGTTATATGGTGATGGATCTACCTCCTAAAAAAAGGACACCTGTGGAATATATTAACATTAACAAAATGACCTAAATACATCAGTTACTGTTTGTGTAATTTTTGTACCTAAATCGCATACAGGGCTACTCAGCGTTAAATGCAGACAATTACCCAAATATCGTGTCTTCACAGTGAAACACGACAGTGGATACAGTGATTTTACAAACAGTCCACATTATCAGAAGAATATTCACAATTAGAAGAGATTCACAATTATGTTTAATTTCCAAATAGCTGAAACTTTTCCATAAAGTTTAAAGAATCTATGTGAATTTACTTTGTGTAATACTCTGGAAGGAATTCTAGTGAATTCTTTGTTTCTTGACTTCATACTTTTCTCCCATTTTATAACGTACATCAATTCCAGAGCAGTGGTTATCTTTGCCATCACATAAATATGTGGGGTGCCAGAGATCAGGGGGGGTCCTTGCTGGCCTTAAATGTTTGACTGAATACAACAATACAGTCCAATGCAAAAAGCTTGCAAAGCTCATCAATTTCGTCACAGCAATAGCAAGAAATTAACAGTTTGAGTCAAAGGTGCTGGACACAGCTGTTAGGTTGTCAGCTGCACTGCCTGTTAAGTTATTTCTGTTAAGTACGATGTCTTCATGTAAATTTAAATTATTCATCATTAATTTTTTATTGTTTAGCTGGAAAGTTCCTGTTTTGAGCTGTGCTGGTTCCATAAAGACAACAGCACATAAGCAATACATTGTCCAAATGCTCTGTGTCCAGCTATGGCATGAAAACCAGGTTAAAACCTTCTTTCTGCATATCTCAAAACACCACCGTGGTGAAAAAAAATGACAAGATTACAATCAGATTAACAAGAACACAGGTTGACATAAACCCAACCACCAATGCAACACTTCCTTATAAAGTATGCATCCACTCTTCACAAACACATTTACCCCAGTAAAGACGACATCAATTCAGATCAGACCGCTGAGAGATGTACCTACTAAAAGTTGAAGAAAACAGCATCAGCAAACTGAGAAACTCAAACCATCAACCATCCTAAGTTGCAGCATAGCCACAGTGGAAGCAGAAAATGTTTGTTTTTTCTTTTTTATATCTGACCCTTTGAAGTAAACAGTTTGCAGATCACTGCCAACAAAAACACAGCAACATCTGACGTTTTATTTGTGTTTCACTTTGGAAATTAACATCCTATACTCTGTGTAATTATCAGCTCTCTTTTATAGATTCTCCAGGCACATCTGGATATCTAGAGCTTCAAATGCAAAGTGCATTGACTGGAACGCTAGTTCAATGTGAGAAAAAAACCCTGAATCTTTCTGTCTTGAGGGAACGTTTTATGCTACACTTACAACTATACAAATTATTTATTAATTGAAAGTACAGTAACTTTTTCCTGGGCTTATAAGAATTCTCAGGTGTTCCCAATCCCAATCCTGGGGACTCCACACTATGTACAAGTGCTATTTTTTCCTCAACTAGTTTACCTGATTAAACTCCTTTGCTAATTTACAAGCTCCTTCTGTGCTGGCTGAGGTGTGTCAGAGTCAGGAAAATACAACACTGTGCAGAGTCAATTCTCAATTCATGAGTACTGATTATTCATCATGAGTTTCTAATGTTTGTGCCTCCTGAAAAAAAAGTGATGAGCCCTTTATTACACTTTATTACTGATTAAATACAGATTAATTATGAGTTCATAATGTTTTTGCCCCCTAAAGTAAAGCATTTGATTATTCTGACTTTATTACTGATGAACTGCCAACAAACTAGTTCCTTTGCCCTCATAGCAACATAAACAAATGATGAATACAGTGTGGATCAAATAAAAACTGGACATTGACAAAATTCATAGGAATTTAAAGAAAAATCATCAACTAATGACTTTGACACAATATATAGAACCCAGGTAGGTGAATATGTGTAGCAGACTAAAAATGAAGAGGAGCCAGTGCAACACATGCTGGTGCTACTGTTCTACAAACATCTGTAAAACTGCAATTTAACATCACATGTTGACTGACATAGTCCTGCTTTATTCATGATTTACACTTTACTTTGCCTGAACATTAACTGCATTATACATTTCAGAAAATCAACAATAACTTTGTTGTATAGTTAATATAATTTAACCTAAATACCATGTAGCTTATTTTAGTCTGTCCAGGGGTGGTGAACTCCAGTGCAGTGCAGTCTGGTGATTTTCTTGCTCAAATACACTTAATTCATCTCAGCAGTTAATTGGAGGTTAGTTGGTGTGTCAAGAGCAGTAAAATCTTCAGACTGTGCTGGATACAGAGCCTCCAGGATCACAGTTTGTTTCCCCTAGAGGGTCCAAAAGCCACTCTTAAGCTACGATACTGTCTGAAACCAGAGATGTTGAAACCTACACTATTAAAAATAAGGGGAGCATTAATGGTTCTTTGAGCAATGTCATAGAAGAACCATTTGCAGCTCCTGGTCTGATGAAGTTTAAGGTTGTGTTTTATTGATTCAGTAATAAGTTGATTTATTGATAAATGGGTATTAATCAGCGTTTTTGTAAATGATTAACTTTAAAGATTAATGCAATTGATTGGAGCAGGAGTGATGGATTTGGGCTGGAGCTCTGTACTACTTCACTAGTAGCGTAATACCCATGATAAACTATGTGGCCAAAATCTATATACCTTGTAACTGGCTCCATCAGGGACATGGTGTAAGTTACTAAATCTAAAACCCATAAAGCCCAACAGTGTTCTCTGTGAAGTGTCTCAGTGAGTGTCTGGAGGATGTTAAAAGCCGGACAGCCAACAATTTTCTACAACTGATTTTCTTATTATGAATTAGATGTCAGAGCAGTACAGGACAGTTCAATATTAATAGGACTCAAGTTCAAGGCCTCAGTGGATCATGTGTCATTTGTGTCTGCAGCGCTCTGCGCAGTTTACTGTTCAGTTCAGTCCACACTTTGAATTTCCACAGAAAGGTAGCTGCTTTGCATTTCATTTCCTTCACTCATAAAGTCTGGTTCTTATCCATATTTGCATAATTCTGTTCCTATTTATATGGAAAAATAGTTTCAACAAATATCATTGGCCTATATTAATACTGACAGCCTACAAGAAAGTGTGGAAGTGTTACACAAACTTGTATATCGTTGCTGTTGGAACAAAACCTCATATCTCCAAGATGGTAACTTTACAGTAGAAGGAAAATCATTCTTTACTTATAAAGCAAGGTAATGGAATAAGAATTTTTAGACCAAGTACTTTCGAAGCATTTCTATTAGTCCATTCATCACAAAATTCTAACACAATGCTAGTAACTGGAGTTTTTAAATTGTCCAAAAAATGTAATAATTGACAAAAATGGAGGTACAAGATTTTTGCGCAACAGGCACAATATTAATCTTTCAAGTGTTTGACAAAAAAAAATTAGGTTTTTGTTCATGAAATAGCAGTGCAATAACACCTCCTCCTTTGCTTTCTAATTTATTCTGTGTTTCACTGATCTGCTACAGTATTTCCAGTATTTTGGCATTGCCTTTGTCTCATAGAACAATAAGCTGAATAAACAAGGTGGGGTTTTTTCCTCAAATGATGATTTGCATAGTATTGTCTCTGTGTACAGTGAAAAGGAGGGGCAGATGGTTTGCATCCTTATAACTGTGTTCAGGGTGTAGTTTAATGAGAGTTAACATCACAAGGAGAAGAATATTATCATTGAAAGAATTCTGGAGATTCAAAAGTTCCTGTACACAAGAGGAGCGAATCACCGCAGAGATGATGTCAGGTAAGACAGTTTCAGACTGAAAATATCTGAACAATGAATTAGTCAAATGGGAGTCTAGTGACAGAGAAGCTTCCATTAATTATAGAATGTCTTGTCTTATTTTATTTAAGGATTGAGAGAAAAAGAAAATAATTGCTAAATAATTAAGGGCTGCTTTTGTAACACATTTGAAAGTGTTTCTGAGGCACAAAGACAGAAGACAAAACAATGAATGAAAATAGAACCATTATGAAAAAATAAAATGTCAAATTTGCAGCAGCCCAGATTGAACTCAAGTTTCCTGATCACATTTTCTAGATGTAGCATGTAAAGTGAGAAAAGCAGCGGTCCTAAAATGGAACCTTGTGGAGCTCCGAATGGTTCCGACTACCCTCTACCCTCAGTTTACAGCACTGTTGCTGACAGGTTTTGGTACTAGGCAGCACTGCAACATAACTGAGATTATGTTCTGTAGATGAACTGACATCTACCGTATTAGCCGTACCACTACACAATATAACATTTGTTCAGATAGGTTGCGCTTCTTCACACGTTTTTATACTTAGCATTCATAGTAGCTTGTGGAATGGAAGCTCTTGCCACTCCTATGTATTTCTGCAACGTTGGATGCTTAGCTCATTCCCACAGTTTGCATAACCAGCTCTACATAAGATTTCAGACTTTCACTAC